TGTAGGGCGTAGAGGGTTTAGGGTTTAGGGGGTTCGGGGCTTACGGCTTCGAATTTGGGGTCCGGGATTTTGGGGTTTAGAGGGTTTTGGTGGGTTTTGGGGTTTCGTAGTTTCGATTTGGGGTTCTTCGGGATTTAGGGGGAGACGGGTTTTTGGTTTTAGGGCTGGGTATTTGCGATTTCATATTTGTCGCTTGCAGGCTGGTCGTTGCGGGAGGCGGGGACTTCCAGCGCCCGGGCGGCAGCAGCAGGTCTTTATCTTCCGATCCTTCTTAAATACCCCAAAGTGTTGAATGGTTCTGGAATCAAGGGCCAGGGGTGCTCTCAAAGTTCTAGAAGGGTTTGGGCGGCCCTATTGAGTGTTATGTACCCCTCAATCCGGGAGCGTAATTCCTTATAATGTAGGGGCCTTATAAACTAGAATAGGGTTTTGGGGCTCCTTAATATACTTATAGTATCATGTACCCGAAACTTTATTCTAATTATTAAGGCCCCTATATTACCCGATTAAGCAAGCACACATCTTGCTTAATGGCTTTTCGGATTTCCTTCCGAGACTCGATGCAGTTTGACTTTGCATCGAAGCCCAGGGACCCAAACATTCTTCTATCAGGGCCCTAGTATAGGGGCCTAAATAATTACCAACACCAATTTGGGGTTCCTTACTATATTTAGAGTACACCGTACCTCAAAGCCCTGTTCTACTTATTAAGGCCCCTACATTATAGAAGGGTTCTAGAAGGATACAAGAGTGGCTCTAGAAGGGCGTTCTTCAAGGGTTCAGTCTAAACGGATTGACCTTGGGCTTAGGGTGTTCTGGCGCTGGTTAGGCCTCAGCGTTCAGGATCCCTAAACCCTAAACCCTAAACCGGTGTTCTTGAAGCTCCCTAGGCCCTAGACCCCGAAGCCTTAGGGCCTAGTTTTCAAGAACAAAACAGCCGTAAGCCGTAAAATCTCAGAAACAGCCGGGGCAGTTAAACCTAAATCCCTAAACAATACCTCCTTAGAAGACCTACGCGCGCCCGAGGCCAGGGTCAGTTCAGCTTCCCATCTGGTTTGCGGCACTTTTGAGCCTTTGTGCGGGCGTCGGCTGCTGCGGCTCCGCAGCCTGTGGAATCTTCCTGGCCTGGCGATGCCCACGGTGCCTGGATCTTGTGTTTAGGGTTTAGGGTTTAGGGTTTAAGGCTTAATTATAGTGTTGCCTGATAGAGTTATAGTTTGTACAAAGGTCTTAAAGGGGTTTTCAATAGGGTTCTGCTGCTTGGGTTTATGGTTTAAAGTTTGAATATGAAGTTGCATAGGGTTTCATAGATGGTTGTCACGTGGCCATAGTAAGGAAGCAAATCTTGCTTGCTATGCATGCTTGTTACAGCAGCCTGCCCTGGGACCCCCAGTGGTACCCTCGTAGCCTTTGTTTTGTTCTTCTTTCTCATAGCCTGAGCATGTAAAAGGGGCACCCTGTTCTTATACTTCAAATTTGCTGAGAAGTCTACAAAGTCTAAAGCTTAAAACCAGCTAAATCCCAGTAAAACCCTACCAGCGCCCTTTGACGCGTCTTTCACAAGAGCCCAGGTACATGTCCCGGGTGGAGCCGGATGAGCCCCCAGCTCTTTTCTTTCCCCAGGAGTGCGAGCGCGTGCCGACAGACTCGTCAGTTGGGAGCCTGTTCCACAGACCGCGTTCCTAGGCCTTTGGTGCAAATACTCTCTTCAGTTTCAGTAGATCAGTATAGTACCTTCTCAAGAAAGAGCGAAACTCGTAATTTACAGTATACTATCTACTTAAGTGCTCTTCCTGAGAAAGCGCACAACTTCAGCTTTTTTTTGAAAAAATGAATCGTCGGGTATTATTCTTCAGATGGATCAAAAAGTCATAGTTTAAAACGGAGCCTCGAAGAACGCTCAGGCTTCCTGAGCCTGCCTGTCCAGAGCTGCTGGACTCTCGTCCGATCTTGAAAATCATTGCTGGTGTTAAACCCTAAGCCCCAAACCCTAATCCCTTTTGGCAGTGCTGGGCTCCTGTTCCCTGCCTCAACCAACATGGTATTCCGGACTCCTTATCAGGCGAAGGAAAAGAGGTGATAAAACAAACCCTAATCATTGCTGGTTTTAGCATCTTTAGCTTAAAGCCTGAAGCCCCAACCACACTTCCATTCGCATCGCTGAGCGCTCGACCCTAAAACCAAAGTCATACTTGTAGAAAGCCAGACTCTTAGGACCCTGAACCACGAACACTTTAGGGTTTTAGGGTCTTGGGGTTTAGGGTTGTGGGTTGTGGCATCGTAACCCATACACCCTAAATCTCGGCTACAATAACCCTAATAGCAACCCTTACACAGTAACGCTTACACAGTAACCCTAAGAGTAACCCTTATACGACAGTAGTGCCCGACGGTAAACCTTACAATAACGGTTATAGTAACAGCCCAGGACGGACTGGGTCGACCGAGCTAAGTCGCGCAAGTCTTCCGGGGAGTTCAGCGACGTCGAGCCCGGTTTACTCCAGCACATCAGCACCATGCAGACCGTGGGCTCTTCGAAGAGTGAGGAGGAGGGGTCTTTGGGGCTTTCTATGGTTTTGGGTTTTGGGTTCTCAATGCTTATGGGTTTAGGGTCTGAGGACCGTGATGCGACAGTTCTTCTACTTTCCTACCAGCAAAGCTTTTTTGTCATGGAGTGCCTGCTGCCAACTATGAGTACACTTCGAGCGACGTATGACTGGCACATGTGATTTCTCGTTTGAGAGGACTCCATCTACTTAGTTCAGGCCGTGTGCTTTTCTTCACTTCTGTGTTCAGGCCCTTGTTGCGGCACTGCTGTCGATTTGTTGATGCCCACCTTCTCACAATTCTGACAAGTGATGCCGGTCGCAGCTGCCTTGTGACATGACTCGCGTCATGTCATGTGGCCGGTACTGTTGCTGTCTTGCCTTTCTCAAGACAACTTTCAGATCGGCCCAACATTTATGTTTAACGGTACTGTACTTCAGGGTACGATAAGAAGGAAGCAAATTGTTGAAGATGTATCGGGGCTTGGGGTGCACGGTTTAGGACGTATGCCTATCAGGGTAACGTGCAACTAAGTTCCGTAGCCCTAAATCCGATTCTCGCAGAGCGCCAACTAGACCCCTAAACCCTAAACCCTAAACCCTAAACCCTAAACCCTAAACCCTAAACCCTAAACCTTGGGTGTAACCCGGATCCCCCAAAACCTCTGAACCCTGAAACCTCACACCCCGGGCAGGAGTCTGACATGGCCAAGAGGAGCACGATGCTGGGCTCTTGTTACGGAACTGAGTTGAAGTTACGAGAATAGTTATTTAGGTAATACGCCCTAGGGGATTTCTGTCGGAACTACCTGTAAGCCCTTTTCGAAGGCGGCATTTTGTCGATTTGTTTGTCTGCATCTGCTGCGGCAGACCTAGCGCGAACATTGGCCAAGGGACGGCTCGCCCTGTAGGTTTTATAGAATTCGGCGAAGGAATTTGATTTGGGATTCCAGGCTACGCTCATGTCGAACATCATATAAGAAACCCTGAACCCGACAAAGGTCATAGACCGGGTGGGCGGGTTGGGAAGGACCGTCGAACCTGGCCGCAAATTAACACACGTCTCGCGTGGTGGTGTGCNNAAGCCCTAAACCCTAAAACCAAGACCCTAGACCCCAGACCCAAGACCCTAAACCCTAAACACGGAACCCTAAACCCTAAACCCTAAACCCAAGATCCTAAACCCTAAACCCTAAACCCAAGATCCTAAACCCTCAACCCCAGACCCTAAACCCTAAACACGGAACCCTAAGCCCTAAACCCTAAACCTTAAACCAAAACCCTAAACCCTAAACCCGGAACCCTGAAAACGCGAAACCCAAGATCTTAAACCCTAAACCCTAAACCCAAGATCCTACTCCCCTAAACCCGGAATCCTGAAAAAAGCGCGCCCCCAGGATGTTTGTCCAGAGGGACTCCACGGACGTGCCGCGCGGCTTTTCAACTCCAGGAGGCCCGAAAATCCAGGCCCCAGGCCATCTACGGCCCTTCAGTAGTACATTTTCTTATCATATAATACATTATATATATATATATTTATTTATATATATATATATATATATTTATTTATTTATCTATTTATTTATTTATTTTATTATTTATGTGTATACATTATATATATATATATATTATATACGTATAGTAGTAGTTGTTGTTGCTGTTGTCATTTATGATAGCTTGATTTAATTTTAGGAGGGAGGTTGGTGGTTTTTGGTATAGAGATCGCGAAGACTCGTCAGCTTACCTTCTAGCCCTCAGCCCTGGGCCTTCGGCTTTAAAGCCCGGAGCCCTGAACCCGAAGTCCTCACCCTAAACCGTAAAATTCTAGACGTTTAGGGTTTAGGTTTTAGGGTTTAGGGTTTAAGTTTAGGGTTTAGGGCCATAGGAGCTGCATACAGCGGGTTCTACAAGGGATTTAGAGAAGGTCTACACTTAACGCTGTGGGGTTTAGCAGTTTAGGGCTCAGGGGTTTAGGGTTTCAGAGAAGACCCTGAGCCCCAAACCCAACCCCCAAAACCTAAAAACGCACAAAGGCTCTGATCTATGAGCTCGAGAGCTTTTGGGTTTAAGGGGTTTAGGGGGTTTAGGGATGTTTAGGGCTAACACGATGCTGCAGAATCGAGCCTATGAGGGTTTTCATGGGGCCTTCAGAAACGGGTTTACAAAACGGTTTCTAAGGCTGCATCAGCTTTTGTCAAAGGCCCTAGCCGAAAAGCCTCAGATACCACATCGCCCCTAAACCCTACACAGTTGCTTCAACCCTAACTCTACCCAGCCCGAAACCTAATCTCCTTCAGGCACCAACTATAACCCCTTTGAAGTTTACAACAAAACCTTTCAGCCCATAAAACAGCAGAAACTCTGCACCCCAAAGCCCCACACATCCGAACCACCTGAAGCCTAGACACTAAATCCGGAAAATTTAGCCACTTAATCCTGAAAACTGTTGTTTGAAACCCTTGCCAAGCCCTTGCGGTACCTTTTCCAAACCAAACACAGGCTTCACAACACCTCTAAAGCCTTGGTTTACGCCCTAGCAAGAATTTGAGAAAAGTCAAGATCTTGAACACAGCATTGGCGAGAACCTAAACCCTAAATCCAAAACCC